TGCCCCATGCTTGAATCACCTGGTGGACAACACTACTGCTGCCCCGTGCTTGAATCACCTGGTGCACAACACTACTGCTGCCCCATGCTTGAATCACCTGGTGCACAACACTACTGCTGCCCCGTGCTTGAATCACCTGGTGCACAACACTACTGCTGCCCCATGCTTGAATCACCTGGTGCACAACACTACTGCTGCCCCATGCTTGAATCACCTGGTGCACAACACTACTGCTGCCCCATGCTTGAATCACCTGGTGCACAACACTACTGCTGCCCCATGCTTGAATCACCTGGTGCACAACACTACTGCTGCCCCATGCTTGAATCACCTGGTGCACAATAAGGGTCGCCTGAGGAAGGGTTGACTTGGCTGAAGCCGGCGGCGCACAAGCAGCCGAGAAACGCCGACCCGTTGGTGCGGCAGAAGCCGGGGAGACACAAGCCGAGGGTGACATCTGAACAGTTGGCGGGCCTGCCTGGTGCAGCATGGACAGCATGGATTGAACGAGGGAGGAGTGAGAGGAAAGGCCTCCTTTTGAGGCACCTCAAAAGACGTCTGAACAGTTGGCCGGCCTGCCTGGTGCGGCATGGACAGCATGGATTGGATGGGGTGGAAGGAGAGGAGAGGCTTCTTGTGAGGCGCCTCAAAACACATCTGCACAGTTGGTGCGGCACACACAGACAGCATGGATTGGAAGGAGTGGAACGAGGGGAACAGGAGAATTTTGAGACGTACCAAAAGCCGGCCTGCCTGGTGTGGCATGGAAAGCATGGATTGGATAAGGGAGGAGTGAGAGGAAAGGGGGGGAAGAGAGGCAAGGAAGGAAGAGAGGAAAGGGAGGAACAAGACAAGACTCAATGCATTCATCCGAGTAAAGTGTTTACGATTGGGCTCTCACAGTGCTGCAGCGCAAGATGGCACACATTTAAGAGTAAGAGTACTGTGCAAGGCCAATCGCAAACACTGCTCTTGAAGGGGGTGCAGGGAGGAGATATACTTGGAAGGCGGGAGCAGTTGAAGGGTGAGTGGGGCATGGCGCAGGAGCAGGAGTAGGCGGCACCATCCACCCAGAAGCAGCGCGGCGACACGTCCAAGCAGGCGTAGATGGCATCAGCGCACTGCCATGTGTTCATCTCTGACGCGAGCCATGGAGATGAATGGGTATGTCATGCCAGGGATGGAGATGAGCGAGTATGTAAGGCAGGTTGTGCCAGGGAGGGTGGAAGGGGGGGTGTTGGGGACAACAGGGTTTTTGGTTGGGAGGAAGGAGTGAGACAGTAGTATCGAACGTAGCAATAGATTGTTGGCATTCACACCAGCACACCCACCAACCACGTAAGGTGAGCACTTTTGGAAATATGTGCCCCATGAGCAGATGCATTACAGATTCGGCGCATGCATTGCACTACAGCATCGGCGCATGCATTGCACTACAGCATCGGTGCATGCATTGCACTACAGCATCGGTGCATGCATTGCACTACAGCATCGGTGCATGCATTGCACTACAGCATCGGTGCATGCATTGCACTACAGCATCGGTGCATGCATTGCACTACAGCATCGGTGCATGCATTGCACTACAGCATCGGTGCATGCATTGCACTACAGCATCGGTGCATGCATTGCACTACAGCATCGGTGCATGCATTGCACTACAGCATCGGTGCATGCATTGCATTACAGCATCGGTGCATGCATTGCACTACAGCATCGGTGCATGCATTGCACTACAGCATCGGTGCATGCATTGCACTACAGCATCGGTGCATGCATTGCATTACAGCATCGGTGCATGCATTGCACTACAGCATCGGTGCATGCATTGCACTACAGCATCGGTGCATGCATTGCACTACAGCATCGGTGCATGCATTGCACTACAGCATCGGTGCATGCATTGCACTACAGCATCGGTGCATGCATTGCACTACAGCATCGGTGCATGCATTGCATTACAGCATCGGTGCATGCATTGCATTACAGCATCGGTGCATGCATTGCATTACAGCATCGGTGCATGCATTGCACTACAGCATCGGTGCATGCATTGCACTACAGCATCGGTGCATGCATTGCACTACAGCATCGGCGCATGCATTGCACTACAGCATCGGTGCATGCATTGCACTACAGCATCGGTGCATGCATTGCACTACAGCATCGGTGCATGCATTGCACTACAGCATCGGTGCATGCATTGCACTACAGCATCGGTGCATGCATTGCACTACAGCATCGGTGCATGCATTGCACTACAGCATCGGTGCATGCATTGCACTACAGCATCGGTGCATGCATTGCACTACAGCATCGGTGCATGCATTGCACTACAGCATCGGCGCATGCATTGCACTACAGCATCGGTGCATGCATTGCACTACAGCATCGGTGCATGCATTGCACTACAGCATCGGTGCATGCATTGCACTACAGCATCGGTGCATGCATTGCACTACAGCATCGGTGCATGCATTGCACTACAGCATCGGTGCATGCATTGCATTACAGCATCGGTGCATGCATTGCACTACAGCATCGGTGCATGCATTGCACTACAGCATCGGTGCATGCATTGCACTACAGCATCGGCGCATGCATTGCACTACAGCATCGGTGCATGCATTGCACTACAGCATCGGTGCATGCATTGCACTACAGCATCGGTGCATGCATTGCACTACAGCATTGGTGCATGCATTGCACTACAGCATCGGTGCATGCATTGCACTACAGCATCGGTGCATGCATTGCACTACAGCATCGGTGCATGCATTGCACTACAGCATCGGTGCATGCATTGCACTACAGCATCGGTGCATGCATTGCACTACAGCATCGGCGCATGCATTGCACTACAGCATCGGTGCATGCATTGCACTACAGCATCGGTGCATGCATTGCACTACAGCATCGGTGCATGCATTGCACTACAGCATCGGCGCATGCATTGCACTACAGCATCGGTGCATGCATTGCACTACAGCATCGGTGCATGCATTGCACTACAGCATCGGTGCATGCATTGCACTACAGCATCGGTGCATGCATTGCACTACAGCATCGGTGCATGCATTGCACTACAGCATCGGTGCATGCATTGCATTACAGCATCGGTGCATGCATTGCATTACAGCATCGGTGCATGCATTGCACTACAGCATCGGTGCATGCATTGCACTACAGCATCGGTGCATGCATTGCACTACAGCATCGGTGCATGCATTGCACTACAGCATCGGTGCATGCATTGCACTACAGCATCGGTGCATGCATTGCACTACAGCATCGGTGCATGCATTGCACTACAGCATCGGTGCATGCATTGCACTACAGCATCGGTGCATGCATTGCATTACAGCATCGGCGCACGCGCTGATGTGGTGATGCATCTGAGTGTGACGATGATGGAACGCATGAGCTGATGCTGCAACGCACGCACTAAAGTGGTGATGCATGTGCTGATGCACCAGCCGATGGATGCACAGATGCTCATGTGCTGATGCCGCAATCCATGCACTGATCCATGTGACACTGCCTCCCTACATTCCCTTCCCCCTATTTTGAGTCGACTCAAAAGCACCAACAGATGGATGTTCATGTGCTCATGTGCTGATGCCGCAATCCATGCATTGATCCATATGATACTCCCTCCTACATTCCCTTCCCCCTATTCTCTCTCCTGCGTTTCATGTCCCCTAGTAGCGTTTCATGTCCCCTAGTAGCGTTTCACATGAACTTGTGGACGCGGATGCAGAGACATGCCGAGTGAATGAAGCGGAAAGTGTAGACTGGCCTTCTTGCTCATTCATGTGTAGAAAGTGTGTTTTTGGGACATCTCAAAAACGCACTTTCTACATGTAGACGAGCCTTCTTGCTCATTCATGTGTGTTGCATCATGCGGACTTATCTGTGCTGCACTGCTATGGCTTATCTTTTGTGCTGCATTGATATGGCCCATCATCTGTGCTGCATTGATATGGCCCATCATCTGTGCTGCATTGATATGGCCCATCATCTGTGCTGCATTGATATGGCCCATCATCTGTGCTGCATTGATATGGCCCATCATCTGTGCTGCATTGATATGGCCCATCATCTGTGCTGCATTGATATGGCCCATCATCTGTGCTGCATTGATATGGCCCATCATCTGTGCTGCATTGATATGGCCCATCATCTGTGCTGCATTGATATGGCCCATCATCTGTGCTGCATGCATGCTCACTCACCCCGGAGCATGGCACTACGAGGTTGCTTGATACCCACGGTTACACTCACAGTCGACAAGCTCACCTTTGGAGCATGATGGCATGCGGTTGGGGCAGGTCTGCACAAGGCCTGGCGGGCAGCTGCAAAAGAGTACCCCGCAGCGCCGAGGTGGGTTTTGAGGCGCCTCAAAAACCGTCTGAAAGCTCACCTTTGGAGCATGATGGCATGTGGTTGCGGGAGGTCTGCACAAGGCCTGGCGGGCAGCTGCAAGAGTACCCCGCAGCGCCCACCGAGTCGTTCACACACGCGCCGGGAAGGCACGGGTTGGAGGAGAAAGCAGCACAACCGTCTCTGGAGGGTGGCATTGCTGCAGACGGCATTGTGATGTGAGGCGTGGCGGGAGGGGAGGCAGGGGAACGGGAAGCACTTCCAGGTAAGCGATGGGTAGGTGGAGAGGTAGCGCCTCAAAAAACTTTTGAGTTTTGGGGCGCCTAAAAAACTTTTGAGTTTTGGGGCGCCTAAAAAACTTTTGAGTTTTGAGGCGCCTCAGAAGGAGGGGAGGCAGGGGAACAGGGTGCACTTCCTGGCAAATGATGGGTAGGTGGATGAGGTGAGAAGCAACTTCATTAGCAACATCACCATGAGGCGAGAGGTGATGAAGAGGAGTGTGTGAGTGAAGCCACCGCTTACGTTGTGATTCAACACTTGGGGTAGGGTTTGTCTGTCACAGTGGCATAGCATGTAACACCAACGATGCATAACCCATCAGAATCACTCCCACCATGCTACCATCCCACCATGCGTAGCTGACATCCCACCATGTAAGCCATCCCACCATGTAAGCCATCCCACCATGCATGCCATCCCACCATGCACGCCATCCCACCATGCACGCCATCCCACCATGCACGCCATCCCACCATGCACGCCATCCCACCATGCATGCCATCCCACCATGCACGCCATCCCACCATGCACGCCATCCCACCATGCATGTCATCCCACCATGCATGCCATCCCACCATGCACGCCATCCCACATGCCCAGCATGCAGCGTGCAGACCCACCCCACATGCATCTACACCCTGCCCCCCTCTCCTTCCCTTACAACGCGTACCCAGGCACGTCGGAGCGCCCGCACTCGTGGTCTGCTCAAAGCCAGTGGGGCAGCGGCAGGTGTAGCCGGGGGCAGCTGAGGAGTTGCTCACACAGGCGCCGGGCAGGCATGGGTTGGCCTGCAGCAGTGCACACGCGTCCTTTGGAGGTGGTGACGGTGACGAGGTGGTTGGTGGTTCCGAGGGGGGTGCTTCCGAGGGGGGTGCTGGTTCCGAGGGGGGTGCTTCCGAGGGGGGTGCTTCCGAGGGGGGTGCTTCTGAGGGGGGTGCTTCCGAGGGGGGTGCTTCCGAGGGGGGTGCTTCCGAGGGGGGTGCTTCCGAGGGGGGTGCTTCCGAGGCGGGTGCTTCCGAGGCGGGTGCTTCCGAGGGGGGTGCTGTTGAGTTTCGATCTGTCAGCAGAAGGGATGACGCACGGTTGGGGGATGAGTGATAACTCAAGGGCGAGTTTGCATAGAGGTTGAGCAATGCGGCGTGCTTAGGCTGCCAGCGAGCAGCTTGCAGACCCACTCCCATATGCATGCACCTTCACCCCGCCCGCCCCTCCCTCCCTCCTCCCCGTGAAAGAAGTGTAATTCAAAGACATCTTATCAAAGCTACACTTCTTTCCCGCAGACCCACCCACTCCCACATGCACCTTCATCCGCCCCACCCCCTCCCTTCTCCCCGAAAACGCTTACCCAGGCACGTCGGTTTGCCCGCAAGCATGGCCTGGTCATAGCCAGTGGGGCAGCGGCAGGTGTAGCCAGGGGCAGCTGAGGAGTTGCTCACACAGGCGCCGGGCAGGCATGGGTTGGCCTGCAGTAGTGCACACGCGTCCTTTGGAGGTGGTGATGGTGCCGAGGGGGGTGCTGTTGAGTTTTGGATCGTGGGCACGAGGGATGGGGCATGGCTGGGGAATGAGGCACGGTTGGGAAATGAGGCGCGGTTGGGGAATGAGGCACGGTTGGGGGATGAGGCACGGTTGGGGGATGAGTAAGAACTCATGGGCGAGTTTGCACAGAGGTTGAGCAATGCGGCGTGCTTAGGCTGCCAGGCAGTGCAGCTGAGCATGCAGAGCATAGCCTGAAGGGTAGCACACACACTGAAGGGTAGCACACACACTGAAGGGTAGCACACACACTGAAGGGTAGCACACACACTGAAGGGTAGCACACACACTGAAGGGTAGCACACACACTGAAGGGTAGCACACACACTGAAGGGTAGCACACACACTATTGCAGAGCCCCCGAGGCGAGGACAAGCACGCCTTCACAATTACCATTATTCTCTTGAGTGAGGCCATGATGCTCGCAACAGCATGAGCAAGGGGATGTGGGGAGACTTGAACGGGGTTACGGGGCTGACCAGGTTGAGGAACACAGTAGGGGTAGGGGAAGGTGGAGGAATCGTTGAGTGGGGTGAATCCAACAGCACACTGGCAGCCTGTGAGGCGAGTGCCATCGTCCACACACACGCCCGGCGCACACACCATTGCCTCCACGTCCATGCAGTCTGCTGACCTCACTGCAAAGGGCGTTTAGCGGGGTGTGAGGGGGTGTGAGGGGGTGTGAGAGGGGTGTGAGGGGGTGTGAGAGGGGTGTGAGAGGGGTGTGAGAGGGGTGTGAGAGGGGTGTGAGAGGGGTGTGAGAGGGGTGTGAGAGGGGTGTGAGAGGGGTGTGAGAGGGGTGTGAGAGGGGTAAGGCGTGCAGGTATGGATGAGTGGGTGCTTCTATTTCGCTGCACTCTTGGCAAGCCTTTGAGGCGCCTCAGAAGTCGACTTTTGAGGCGCCTCAAATTCTGCCACACTTATAGCAAGCCCACGCCTGCTGTCACCACAGCCGTGCACGCTGCTGTCACCACAGCCGTGCACACTGCTGCCTGCCTGTGAGGAGGGGTGGGGACAGACCAAGGGGTGGGGACAGACCAAGGGGTGGGGACAGACCAAGGGGTGGGATGAGATGGGCAGGTACTGTTGAGTGCGGTATTGTTCTGACGGACAGCCTCCATTCACAAGCCCGCCTGTTGCCCTGCCCGTGAACCCTGCTGCCTGCCTGGCTGTGACATATGGATGAGCAGGCAGAGGGCAGGGACATATGGATGAGCAGGCAGAGGGCAGGGACATATGGCTGAGCAGGCAGAGGGCAGGGACACGGCATGCGCAAAGGGAGAGCTTAAATGGAAAATACTTTGATGTGGAAAGGCGTTTAATGTGGTGACGGAGACGGGGGAGTGTGTGGAACGACGAGAGGAAGGTGAGCACAACGAGAGGAAGGTGAGCACGACGAGAGGAAGGTGAGCACGACGAGTCTGAGCAATAGCATGGGGCGGAATATTCGAGCTCGGGAAATGGCGACAGTGAGAAAGGAGATAAATGTGTGATCCTCCTGGCAGCACAGGAGTTGAGATGCCTCAAATAATGCAGGATTTAATTGGAAGCACAGGAGGAACAAGGAATGAGGAAGGAACGGAAGGAGGGAATGAGGGATGCAGGGAGGGGTGCAAAGGGGGAGGGGCGGGATGGTGGGTAGTGGGTGGTGAAACGAACATTGGAGTGGGGTGCAGGTCCACTGGCGCGTTTGAGGGTTGGTGCAGTTGCAGGAGAAGGTGGAGGCACGGTAGAAGTAGCATTGAGGGGTGGCTTCAAGACAGAACATGAGGTTGACCGCACACCGATGCATTTCATCTGATGGTCGAGGCAGAGACACATGGGATGAAAGGCAGATCAGAGACACATGGGATGAAAGGCAGAGCAGAGACACATGGGATGAAAGGCAGAGCAGAGACACATGGGATGAAAGGCAGAGCAGAGACACATGGGATGAAAGGCAGAGCAGAGACACATGGGATGAAAGGCAGAGCAGAGACACATGGGATGAAAGGCAGAGCAGAGTCACATGGGATGAAAGGCAGAGCAGAGACACATGGGATGAAAGGCAGAGCAGAGACACATGGGATGGGAGGCAGAGCAGAGACACATGGGATGGGAGGCAGAGCAGAGACACGTGGGATGGGAGGCAGAGCAGAGACACATGGGATGGGAGGCAGAGCAGAGACACATGGGATGGGAGGCAGAGCAGAGACACATGGGATGGGAGGCAGAGCAGAGACACATGAGATGGGAGGCAGAGCAGAGACACATGGGATGGGAGGCGAGGCAGAGACACATGGGATGGGAAGCAGAGCAGAGACACATGGGATGGGAGGCAGAGCAGAGACACATGGGATGGGAGGCAGAACAGCGGCACATGGGAAGAAGAGGCATGGTAAAAGAGTAACAGACTCAAACCCAAGGGCATAGGGAAATGGAATAAGAATTGGAGGCATCCTAAGTCTGTCTTATTGGCGAGAAAAAACGCCTTTCATCTTAACCCAATCTACGATACAGCCATCACCATTGAATGGCCAACACCATTGTAGCCATCGCAGTCCAGGCCCGACTCACATGTAAGATCAGCTTGACTTTTGAGTCGACTCAAAAGTCAACACCATTGTAGACATCGCAGTCCAGGCCCGACTCACATGTAAGATCAGCTTGACTTTTGAGTCGACTCAAAAGTCAACACCATTGTAGACATCGCAGTCCAGGCCCGACTCACATGTAAGATCAGCTTGACTTTTGAGTCGACTCAAAAGTCAACACCATTGTAGACATCGCAGTCCAGGCCCGACTCACATGTAAGATCAGCTTGACTTTTGAGTCGACTCAAAAGTCAACACCATTGTAGACATCGCAGTCCAGGCCCGACTCACATGTAAGATCAGCTTGACTTTTGAGTCGACTCAAAAGTCAACACCATTGTAGCCATCGCAGTCCAGGCCTGACTCACATGTAAGATCAGCTTGACTTTTGAGTCGACTCAAAAGTCAACACCATTGTAGACATCGCAGTCCAGGCCCGACTCACATGTAAGATCAGCTTGACTTTTGAGTCGACTCAAAAGTCAACACCATTGTAGACATCGCAGTCCAGGCCCGACTCACATGTAAGATCAGCTTGACTTTTGAGTCGACTCAAAAGTCAACACCATTGTAGCCATCGCAGTCCAGGCCCGACTCACATGTAAGATCAGCTTGACTTTTGAGTCGACTCAAAAGTCAACACCATTGTAGCCATCGCAGTCCAGGCCCGACTCACATGTAAGATCAGCTTGTCCGTCAACTCTTGTCGCGAGCATGGCCGCGAGCAGTAGCGCCGTCACGGCGACTGCAGCGGACGCCACGGCCGGCGGCAGCAGCCGTTGCATGTTGCTGGATGGGCCTCAGACACGCTCGCACTGACGACGGCAATGCTGGCCGACTCGGAGTCTAGATACGGACGATGGAGTCTAGATACGGACGATGGAGTCTAGATACGGACGATGGAGTCTAGATACGGACGAGGCGCGCAGGACGAGTGGAGCAGCAGAGAGCGCGACGAGAATAGCACCAGTCGTTTCAGTGGTGTGCTGTGTTGATGAGATGAGCGGAATATACGGAGATAGTCGTACTGACAGAAATGAGAGGCCTCGTTTCTTGGATAAACTAAATGGGATTCTTGACTCGCGACTCGCGAGATTCGGGTGAAGCCGCGATATTCCGGAAACGTTGAGCCTGGGAAAACGGATGGTGAATAGCAACTTCTAAATACAGAAATGAGACAAGTGGTTCTTGTCGCACGAAAGGAGGACACTCGGGACGTGACGGCTGGTATCCAGTTAAAGTGCGTAGTAACGTATGAGCTTATTGGCTGCGGCCGCCTTGAAAGGTGAGCAAAAAACGGCTTTGCTCTGGTGGTGGTGAATCTTGTTTTGCCTCTCAACGACAACGAGACGGAAATGGCGAGTAAGGGATGGCGGTGGCGGCCCATTGCCTTGTTGTTACTGTACCCGTGCGATGCGGAAGGAATGCAGGCAGTTTCTTGTGAGCGTTAAAGGACAACCCGGTGAGCTGGCAGGTGAAGGCTTTCATTTCAAACGAAAACCAGCGCCTGAATAGTACTGTACTGTGCTTCCACGCTATGTCAACCACTTCCTCTGCGTCAACCACTGGGACAAGAACATCGTCGGGTCCAGCGAGGAGTGTTCTTCAGAGTGAGGTGAGCAACGGTGTCTGTCTAGTTTGTTGGGCAAAGGTTTATCACTGTTACGGGTGCAATTGAGTGAACAAACGAGAATTGCACTATCGAAGCAAGAATCCAATTGAGCGAAGGCATGAGCGAACATTATATAGCGAAACTACAGTGGTAACGGTAATGGTCGCGCGACGAGCCTGGGACTGAGGTTGGGAAAGTGTCGAAGCGTAGGCCCGGAGCGCGGGTTACCAGCCGAGCCGTGAGGTCGGGATGCGATGTGCGAAAAGGGCGGGATGATGAATGATGCGATGGTCGCGAGTGGTAACGGTGCTGACTGAGGTGCTACAGTGATGTACGCGTTGAGCAGGGACGCGAAGTAAGGAAAAGGGGATTTCCTTACACTACCCCCCCTCCTAAGGAGGTCCTCCTTATGAAAGTGCGTGGATGTCTCGGAAATTGCGGCTACGCAGGTAGTCGGTGACGACGGGGTGATTTTCAACTTTCTCCAGGGGAACCCAATTGTCCTCTGTGGGGGTACGATCTTTCCAGCGGATCAGAAACTCCACCCATCGGGCTCCTCGAGGGTCGCGAACTCTGTGGCTCAGGATCTTGTCGGGGGTGATGACTGGTTCGGTTGGTGGTCGTGTCATGCTGGTGGGTCAATGTCGTGGGAGTTGGCTGGTGGATGGCACGTAAGGGCGAAGTAAGCTGACGTGGAACGAGGGGCTGACGTACCAGTCAGCAGGGAGGAGGAGGTGCGCGGTGACTGGCGTGACCATGTGACTGATTCGAAATGGCCCACAGTATCGAGGGCGGAGTTTTGGAGTGATGGGCAGGCGGAGGTTCTGAGTGTCGAGTAAAACGAGGTCGTCGGGCTGATAAGTAACGGGTCTGCGATGGCGATCGGCGTTGCGTTTAGCGATGATGTTTGATTTTTTGATTGCTTCTGCTGCCCTGGTCCGTGCTGCTTGCAGAATCTCGGCGAACTGTTGTGCTCGTGGGACGGGGTTGTCGGGATTCGGTGTCATGGGTACTGTTGGGTCCTGTCCGTAATTCAAGTAAAACGGCGACTGTTGCGTCGTGGCTGATGGTGCGTTATTGTATGCGAACTCGATGAGTGGCAGCTGCTGTTCCCACGTATTCGGATCGTCGCACGTGGCTCGAATCAGCTGCTCCATGGTCTGATTTGTCCGTTCCGTCTGTCCGTCGGTTTCGGGGTGATAGGACGAACTGAACTGTAAGCGCGTGCCGAACTGCTGCCACAGGTTCCGCCAGAAGTTGCTTGTAAATTTCGTGTCCCTGTCGCTGATGATCGATGCGGGTATCCCGTGCAGTCGAACGACGGTGGTGATGAAGAGTCGGGCGGTTTCCTCGGCTGTGATTGATTTCCTGCATGCTGCGAAATGAGCCATCTTCGTTAGTCGATCGACGACGACCAGGATCGCGTCATTCCCACTCGCCCCAGCTGGTAACCCTGGGACGAAATCCATCGTCACCTGCTGCCAAGCACGCTCTGGGGGCGGGATGGGTTGCAATTGTCCCGCCGGCCGCTTCCTGCTTGACTTCATGAGCTGGCAAGTGGGACACGATGCCACGTGTCGTTGCACATCAGTCAACATTTCTGGCCAGTAGTAATACCGCTGCAGCTGCTGCCGTGTTTTTTCTACCCCGAAATGTCCCGAGGTAACTCCGTCGTGTGCTTCCTGTAACAGTAGTTCCCGTAGTAGCGTGTATCCTGGTACCCAGATGCGGTCGGTCCCAGCTTTTACATAATAGACTCCTTTTGCCGCTGCGAATTGCTGTGAGTTGCCTCCTGTAAAGAACGGGTCTGTTTGATATCCGTGGGTAAATAGGCCTGTCACTAGCGGGCTGGTCTGGGCGAGTAGTATCGCGTGGATCTGGGCAGTGGGGCGGGTCAGTGCGTCGGCGATATTCGAGGCTCCTTTTTTGTATGTGACCGTATAGTGAAAATTCGACTCGAGGAAATCGAGCCATCGAATCTGTCGTGGGTTGAGGTGGGGCTGTGCGCGGAGGTACTGTAGAGATCGATGGTCTGTCCGTACTGTCACGTCTGCGCCGGTCAAGTAGCAGCGCCACACTTTGAATGCGTGCACGATCGCGAGCATTTCGCGGTCGTGTATCGGGTAATTTCGCTCAGGCGGATGTAGTTTGCGTGATTCGTAGGCGATGGGTTGGAGGCCGTCGCCGAAGTCCTGTAACAGTACAGCTCCGATGGCGATGTCACTTGCGTCAGTAACCACTTCGAAAGGGCGGTGGGGGTCAGCGATGCGTAGAACGGGTGGTGAACAGAGAACGTTTTTCAGGGCAGAGAAGGCAGCATGCTCTTTCTCCCCCCACGTAAAAGCGACCCCCTTACGCAGTAAATCAGTGAGTGGGGCTGTTAAACGTGCCATGTCGGGCACGAACCGTCGAACGTAATTAACAAAACCTAAAAAACTCTGCAGTTCCGTGATGTTCGTCGGGGGGCGCCACGCTTTTACCGTATCCAGCTTCTTTGGGTCAATCTCAACCCGAGCCTCCGAAATGACGTGACCCAAAAACTCTAGCCTGTCCCGAAAAAACTCGCACGTAGAGCCCTTGGTGAGTAGCCGATGTTCCTCCAAAACTTTAAAAACTGCTTCAAGATCCACTAAGTGCTGCTGCTTATCCCGGCTATAAACTAGAATATCGTCCAGGTAAACTATTACGCATTTATCTAAAAGTGGTCTAAACGCCTCGTTCATGGTCATCTGAAATGTCGCAGGCGCGTTCGTCAGCCCGAATGGCATTACTGTATACTCGAATCACCCGTACCTAGTCCTAAATGCTGTTTTGGCGCAGTCCGATGGTTCGACCCGAATCTGATGGTAACCTCCCCGTAAATCTATTTTCGAAAAGACTCGTGCTGTTCGCAGTTGGTCGATCAGTTCGTCGGCGCGGGGGATGGGGTATCGTGATTTGATTGTTACCCTGTTGAGCGCTCGGTAGTCGATGCACATGCGGAACCCTCCGTCTTTTTTCGGTGTGAACAGTATCGGTGCGGCGAACGGTGGCGAGCTCGGTCGGAGAAACTGCTTCTCTAATAGGTAATCTAACTGCTTCCTTAACTCGTCGAGCTCGGGCTGTGTCAGTCGAAATTGCCGCTGTACAGTTGGCTGTGCCCCCGGTTCTAACTCGATCCTATGGTCGTGCGCCCGCTAAGGTGGCAGTCCCTGTGGTAAATCATCCGGAAATATCCCCGGGAACCGTTTCAGTAGTGCTTGTAGTTCGGTCGGTACAGCTGCCAGCAGTTTCTCCAAATCACTCGGCTGCTCATCTTTTTCTACGAGTGCGATATCCACTGCGTACACGTCAGCTCCAGTAGCAACAGCCCGTTTCATCGTGATGGCGTTGACCTGGACCGTCGAAGATTTGGGTGGCTGCCAGCGAGGTAGAACGACCCAGTTACCACTACTTCGCACTGTGCAGCTCCCCGTCGTCCAGTCGATCCGTGGGTTGTACCGTCGCAGCCAATCACGTCCCAATAAAATGTCGTGCCCATCCAGTGTCGTCGCGAGCATTTCCTGTGTAAACCCGAAGTTCCCCCCGCAGCGGACTTTTACGCGCTCCACCTTTTCCCGTATGGCCAGGGGCGTGCCGTCGACTAAGCGTGCATCTATCTCAGGTAAACATCGGTTAAGCGTTAACTGTAATTTTCGTGCGGTTGCGGTATTAACTAAGCTGTGGCTTGCTCCTCCGTCAATGAAGATCTTCACTGCTGCTCCCTGTATTTTCCCGTAGATCAGTACCGGGCAATCCGTCGCTGTACCCTCCTTATTCATCCGAGCCCGATCGATGGCGTGAATCGGTACTGTGACTCGGTGAGGGTCGGTGTGGTTGGGCGAGCAGGCAGTCTCGTCAGTAGTTGGCCCAACTTCTACTGACTGCTGGCGTTTCCCTGCCTCTGAGACTCCCTCCCCTGCTCTGCTCCTCGACGCCTCAGCTCCTCTGGACATTCGCTCTTGCGATGGCCCGGCCGGTTGCAAGCAAAGCAGCGCCCTCTAAACGGCGCGGCAGCTGCATTCGCTGCGACGGCATGTACAGTGGCGTGCTCGGTCGGTTCCCGAGGACGATGTCCGTAATAGGACCCCGGTCTCGGTCGGCGTAGGATATCGATTTTCTCGGCGAGCGCGAGGATCTCGTTGAAATTCGAGAGCCCACGTAGCATTATCTCGTGCGAGATGTCCGGCTTCAGCCCTCCGACGTAACGGTCCACCCGCTCCGCCTCGTGCATGTAGCCGACCTGTTCGCAAAGTGCGAGAAACCCGCTGGTGTAGTCTTGAACTGACCCGAGCTGGCGCCAAGTGCGCAGTTTCTGACGCGCCGAAATCGAGGCCGCGATCGGCTCAAAGCGCGCCCGAAGCCCTGCGCACCACGCATCCCACGTGCTGTATTGGGCGGTTTTGCAGAACGAACTCCAGGTAACAGCTGGACCCGAGGGCCCTTCCTCGTGCGACGGTGGCTCGTAGGCGCGCGGCGACGTCACAATGACTCGCCACCAGTCCATGGCGGGGCCCCTGAGTAGTGAAACCGCATACCGGATCTTGGCGGCGTCCGACTCTACGTAGTTGGCGTCGAAAAACACATTCATCGTGAAGACCCACGATTGAACTGTCGGGCCGCCGCGTTGGCTTGGGTCGAAGCAGGGCGGGCGTTGCGGCTTGAGTGGCATTGGGGCCATCATGGCGTTCTCGCCACTTGTCGCCGCAAACTCCACGTGCCGACGGGCTTCTCGGGGCTCCCGTGGGCTTAATGCGCTCCTGTTCCCTCCCATGCCGGGCATCGGTTGGGCTGCGCCGTCACTGGCTGCGCCTGAGCGCTGTCCCGTGCTGTTGTGTTGCGCTGGTGTGCCGGATGAGATGACGATGGGCTCCTCCGAATGTGCAGATGCATTGGTTGGTGCGTGTGACGTCGTCGGTGCGTTCACCGTTGACTGTTGACGGGCGGAGTCACGTTCCGCCGTGAGAGTCGCGATTTCGAGCGCCGAATCCTCCAATTGACGCACGAGACGATCGAGTTGCTCCTGCGTCATCGTGGCGAGATTGAAATCGGCCATGGCGGGGGTGTCGGGCAAGCTCAGCGAGAGCCTCGGTCGTGGCCGTGCGTGCTTTCGAGAGAGCACTACGAGCGGCGGTGCTGTGTTGCTGAGAGACGTCTACCCCCCCCAAAAATTGAGATAGTGGTAAGCGAAGGTGTGGATGCGGTCCGAGATGAGGTCGTAGGCTCTGAATACCAAGTGTTATGGGTGCAATTGAGTGAACGAACGAGAATTGCACTATCGAAGCAAGAATCCAATTGAGCGAAGGCATGAGCGAACATTATATAGCGAAACTACAGTGGTAACGGTAATGGTCGCGCGACGAGCCTGGGACTGAGGTTGGGAAAGTGTCGAAGCGTAGGCCCGGAGCGCGGGTTACCAGCCGAGCCGTGAGGTCGGGATGCGATGTGCGAAAAGGGCGGGATGATGAATGATGCGATGGTCGCGAGTGGTAACGGTGCTGACTGAGGTGCTACAGTGATGTACGCGTTGAGCAGGGACGCGAAGTAAGGAAAAGGGGATTTCCTTACAATCACCATCCTCTCAAAACAACCAACAATTTCCTCGTACATGCGAAGGTTTATCGTATCATTCGTGCAGTTGTATCAATGCTAGAACTTGATTTGCTGTCAAAAGCTTGCTGTGGCTTCACTTCATTCTTCGATAAAGCAGTTATATACAAGCAGGAAAGGTACACATTGGCAATATTTGCTAACAGCGGCACGCATGAAACAAAGGACGCAGGAAAAAAAAAGTAGTTTTTACTTATGCATGGATCGGTACAGCCACTTTCATGTTGAATGTGGAGCAGTGGCCAGGCACACTGCAGGAGAAGAGAATCGATGTGCCTTTTGCTGAAGCTGGAACCTTGTACCTGACACACGATCCAAACGATGAGTGGACAGCGCAAGGCAAAGCCATCCCAGAAAAACTTGCAACACAGGATGGCAACAATCGCCTCAACTTGAGAGCAAGCAAGCAACTCCTATAACAAGAAACTTCGCAGGTGCTTGAATGAAGGGCTGTGGCAGTCGCAGCAGAAACCCAAGACACCAGCAAGGTGTCCAACTCCGCAAAGATTCAACAACGTTCCGGACAGCACGCCCACTTGTACTCCCCCCCACCTGTTATGAACCCTGTCTCCTCAGCGGGACCCCTTAAATCGCAAGTATCGTGCACACCTACAGTGCATTGCCTCAACTCAAAACGCTCTCTGCATACTCACAGTCAACCACGGATGCCATGCCAGTCTTCTTACTAGCCGCCCCAAAGCCGCAGGTAGCATGCATGCCCACAGTGCATTGTCTCATCTCAAGAAGCGCTTTACACACTCACTTGTACTTCCCCACAGATGTGATGCCAGTCTTCCTAGTGGCCGCCCCAAAGTCACAGTTGTTGTACGCGTCCATGGTGTTCATGATCCACACGTCATGCGGGATGCCCCTCCACTTGAACACTGCAGGCAGTGACGCAGACAGAGGCAGGGACGCACAGGGAAGTGAGGTTGGATGAGGTCACTGGGGGGAGTGAGGCCAGTGGAATAAGACGGACCAATATAAGCAATGCAGCAATAACACGTCAGGGGAGCGCTGTAAGAAGAATGAATCCTAGAGCAGAGGATTATAAAACGAAGAACATTGCAACCAGTGGAACCGATAAGTCTGCCCTTCTTGGAAATTGCATCCCCTTGCAACGACCACTGCCAAGGAGGGGTAGTGTGGGTGCGAGGAGTGCAGAGGGTGAAGGAGGTGTACCGAGAGTGTCTCCGGCGTGAATGACGCCCTTGGGCTTCCACTTCTTCACGCCGTATCCCCACGGACTCAACCCACTGCCGCCCACTGTGAACACCTTCGCCTGTTGGGCAAGGCAATGGCAGCGAGGAAGACGAAGACACAAAGATACAGAGGGTGAGGAGACAATGAGATGAAGAGAGAGGCACACAGATGGAGGGATGGTGCAGAAATGTGCGGAGAGGGTGAGATGGAGATGCGAGGGCAAGAACAGAGGTGAGTTGTGTGCGAGAATCGAGGCGGACCAAACGAGTACAGGAGGAATGACGAGTATGACTCAGAAAGAAAGGAGTCTTTGAGTAATAGACTCATAATTGCAGTGCGATGTGACAGGAGGAAAAGGCATGACGACAGGGGAGCATGTGAGAGACAGGGGAGAAGGCAGGAGGGCAAGAGAGCAAGAAAGAGGCAAGAGGCAGGAGGGTAGGAGAGCAAGAGGCAAGAGACAGGAGGGTGAGAGAGCAGTACCTCTGATTGGATTGCGCCTGCCACCAGGGGATGTGTGGAGGGGGGGGGGGGGGGGGTGGGGGGAAGCAGAAGGGAGAAAGAAAAGAAAAGACACAGGAAGGGGGAAAGCGGGGGGGGATGAGCGAGTAACGGAAACAAAGGCTTCCAGGAGCGCGATGATGGGTGAACAAGCGCAGAAGAACAGGAGAGCAGCAGAGCAGGACCAGGGGGGTGTGACAGACTGGCGGCAGAGACTCTTCAAGAAGCAAGAAAGTGAGTAGGTGGCCAAACAGCCATGAGAAACCGAACGCGGCGGAAGTCGAGGCTAAGCATGAGGTTGATGCGAGAAACGCGGGAGTCGCGAGGAAGTAACGACGCAGAGTCACATGGAGCAAAGGGGCGGTCCACGGAACGACTCGAGAGAGTCGGACTCCGGGTCTCCGAAGGGAGAAAGAAGGATCAGCGCGTACAGAGCAGAAAGACGAGCGCTGTGGTCGTGAGGGCAATCGCGGCAAGCGAGCGAGTCATGGCGACGACGGAAGGGCGCGCGACAAGGGAGCAGTTTCTCTTGAATAATCGAGTCGCCACGGCGAATACGAGAGACAGAGTTCCTGAAAGGCGGAGCGTATTGAACCACGCGTGAGCGGGGAATGAGAGTCGGCGAGGAGTACTTACAAAGAAAAGAAGAAGCTGGGATTCTGGTTGAGTCCGAAGCACGAGCCGTGCTTATTTCTAGGTCGGGTGGTTGTTGCTTCCTGTGCTTGGTCGGCTGGTTCTTTCGTCTCCCAGTCGGAATTTTTCCGCTTTGGTCGGCGGCTCCGTCCCTCCATTCTTGCGCCTTCAGCCAATCACCAAATCCCTCGGACCCTCCCTCTGTATGTTCCCCGCGCTACCAGCGCTACCCGCTCCTCGCGCTCCGCGCATGCATCCTTTCCCCCCCATCCCCTTCCTCCTTTCACTTGTTCCCTCCCCCCTCCCCCCAACAATTGCCTGGGGTGGAGAGAACCTGTGGAAGGCTCGTGGAACGAGCTAGTTGCACCAATCTGCCGTCCAGTGACGTTTGGCATGGCGTGACTGTGGTGCGGAGCCTCAACGGCGCAACGCAAACGAAAAGCAGAACCGATGCCCGAAGGATCGGACGACTGAACAACAACGATGCGGAATCGTACGGCGAGATTACGATGAGGCAAAGGGCGGGAGACAAGTGAGCTAGCATTGGACGCGTGGCAGACAGAGGAGCAACCATTGTTGAAAGTGAGGTGACCTATCAGAGCAGTTTGAATGGTCGGTAAGTCTGTTTGCGATGCGACATCTCTGTTATCTGTGAGGGTCGGCATACAGTAGTCTGTTCAAACACTTTCCATTCAATACACTCCTCTACAGCCCAAGCTCATCCCTCTCGTCAAAAGATAAAACCAGAAGACTGGTATAAAGAATCAGAAATAATAACACGTCAACCGTGAAGTCCAAGCAACCACATACGGTTTCCATCAGGATGCTGGAGGAAACATGGACAAGCTGCATGCTGACAGTTTCGTTGATGCTGTCCTTGTCACCGTTTGCATTCAAAAAGAATGTCAAAACCAACTTGTTCTCAGCAAATAGTCCAAAACACACATGGTACTTCAAAGCCCTGCCACCGCCTGTCCAACACCCACGTCTGCAAACGCCTAGAAAGCATTATCCGCCACAAGGCCAAGCCACAAGTGGCCCACTCAAGGATAAGAAACTGGTGACACAAGCTAACACCCATAACACTCTCAACTGTTGCCAGCATTCACTTCTTCTTGGCCGCAGCCTTGGTCACCTTGGCACCAGTGGGATCCTTCTTCTCAACGCTCTTGATGACACCGACGGCCACTGTTTGCCTCATGTCACGCACAGCGAAGCGTCCAAGAGGAGGGTACTCGGAGAAGGTCTCGACGCACATGGGCTTGGTGGGAACCATCTTCACGAAGCAAGCATCACCGTTCTTCACGAACTTGGGCTCCTTCTCCAGCTCCTTGCCGGAACGCCTGTCCACCTTGGTGATAATCTCAGAGAACTTCACAGCAATGTGGGACGTGTGGCAATCCAGCACAGGCGCGTAGCCATTACCGATCTGACCAGGGTGGTTCATGATGATGACCTGCGAGGTGAAGTTGGCAGCCTCCCTGGCGGGGTCGTTCTTCGAGTCAGACGCGACAAAGCCACGCTTGAGTTCCTTCACCGACACGTTCTTCACGTTGAAGCCAACGTTGTCACCGGGGCCAGCCTCGGGCAGAGACTCGTGGTGCATCTCCACCGACTTAACCTCAGTGGTCAGACCGCTGGGAGCGAACACCACAACCATACCGGGCTTCAGCACACCAGTCTCCACTCGACCGACCGGAACTGTTCCGATACCGCCGATCTTGTACACGTCCTGAAGGGGCAGACGCAGGGGCTTGTCGGACGGCCTCTTGGGCTCGGACACCTGATCCAGCGCCTCCAGCAGGGTGGGGCCCTTGTACCAGTCCAGGTTGGTGGAGCGCTCAATCATGTTGTCACCCTCGAAACCAGAGATGGGCACGAAGGGAATCTTGTCAGGGTTGTAGCCGACCTTCTTCAGGTACGACGACACCTCCTTAACGATTTCCTCGTAACGAGCCTTGGAGTACTTGGGGGTGGTGGCATCCATCTGCAGAACGCAACAAAATCAGCGTCAATACCAGAAGACTACGGCCGATACTTGGAAATACGACCATGGCAGCAGGGATCAACAAAATGATAAATGTTTTAACGGATTAAGTCGCAAAACATCGAGAAATAGGATGATACGCGAGCCACTTACCTTGTTGCAGCAGCAGATCATCTGCTTCACACCAAGGGTGAACGCCAGCAGAGCGTGCTCACGGGTCTGACCATCCTTGGAAATACCGGCCTCGAAACCACCAGTGGTGGAGTCGATGATCAGAACAGCGCAGTCGGCCTGTAACAGACATGCCATAGGTCAGATCGGGTACTCAGCGCATGGAATGAGACAAAAGAAACCAGAACTCCGAACAAAAACGATGGAGCGCAATCAGCTGACCTGCGAGGTTCCCGTAATCATGTTCTTGATGAAATCGCGATGGCCGGGAGCGTCAATGACCGTGCAATAGTACTTGTTGGTCTCGAACTTCCACAGAGCGATATCGATGGTAATACCACGCTCGCGCTCCGCCTTGAGCTTGTCCAGCACCCAGGCGTACTTGAAGGACCTCTTGTTCATTTCAGCGGCTTCCTTCTCGAAACGCTCAATCACACGCTTGTCAATCCCACCCAGCTTGTAGATGAGATGACCAGTCGTCGTCGACTTGCCGGAGTCGACATGGCCGATGACGACAATGTTGATGTGCAACTTTTCCTTACCCATGTTGGCAACCTGAAATGGTTCGACGTTCAGCAGAAAAAAAAAAAAAAAAAACGAACAAACAAACAAACCAACAACAACGAAACAAATTATATGATTAGCCCGTCACGAACGCAGCGATCAATAAGACATAATGGAACAGCGGATAAGCTTAACCGATGATCCGACTGCAACGCGAATGGCAAGAATAAGTCAACAGCCATTAGAACCTAACCTACCTGAGTTAGGAGAAGGGCTCTGAATTCAGGTAGGAGGCAGAAAGGGCGAGAATGAAGTCCCAACCCCAAACTTCAGCTGGCGGGTGACTGGGAGACAATTGGCTTGGCAAGGCAAGGTGCAAGGGGGGGATCCAGGGACTGACGTTCTGACGGAACGTAGACGACAAGGGCACAGATAGGTCTACCTCGACGTCCTAATTGCCGGTTGCGAAATATTGAGGAGTGTTGTGGTTGGTTGCGAAAATTCCACGTGGCGCCACCGAGGTTGGAGTTTGTGATCTCAGAAGCAGGCCGAATACGAAGCCCAAAAGTCGAGACGTTATATCTCCCCGAACAAGCAACTGATGAACAACAATATGCTACTGAAACACTGACGGGCATACGGTACAAGGCGGTTAATCCACCAAAAAAAAAAAAAAACAGTAAAACAAGGATTCATCATGTCTGATTCCTTCACAGCATATCCATATTTGGTAGCATGACAAGAAAAAGAGGGGATCTTGGTGTATATGTCGTGCACCGTATACGCATTGCCTTTCCAGCAATTTGTCGTCTGGTTTGGAGAACCTCTGTGAATTTCGAAACAACACTCACAAAATGCCGTAAGCAATAATGCAATGCAAGTGGGCTGTTCTAGCTATTTAAATGTGCTGAATCGGTTTTTCTGCCAGGATCTTGGATCGATTTAATAACGCCACCCCACGAGCTAGCCCTCTATTTGGTTTTGGGGCAGACTGCTCTGTATGTAGCGCTCTATGCACCAGAACCTGTCAACCAACGCAGACCTACCAAGCTTATCATTCATACTACCATTACACATGGAGGTGATCAAAGTCAGAGCAATGTGGAGATAAGCACACACACATATCCTGATTCTAACCCTGCTGATCCATTTTCCCACAAGCATAAGGTTCAAGGATTCAGCAATGGGACATCACAAGAAGACGTAAAAACATTCCAGCCAGTCAGTTCAACATACATTCCCTTGTCACACTTGCAGCCTGAACAGCTCGAGCCACTGGAGGGACTTCCCTCAACGCATGCAGAGCAAGGCTCATGAGCGAACTCCACCTGTACAGTGACCTCCTCACCAGGTAGCAGCGAGAGGTAATTCTCAGAGTACACTGCAGGAAGCACCCTCTTGCCGTCCACCCGCCGGCGCACATTGAAACGGACAAAGAACGCCACACCTCCAGCAACGCTCTCGTCCTCATTCACTCCTGCAGCAGGCTCATTCAAAGTCCCAGTGCGCCCCCCCACTGCTGCTCCTCCGTTTCCTTGCCGATCTGCGCTCTGCCTTCCATCCAAAACGCCTCCATTCACAGGATTGCTCACCAGCAGATACGCCCTCCACCAGATAGACCTCCCTCCATGGGCCTCACTGGGTGGTAGATGCATCCCTGCCTCACCCAGGGGAGGGGCGGAGGAGACGCGGAGGAGGGAGAGGGAGAGGCGCAGCTTGTGCTGGCGGAAGGGGCCTCCCAGGGCACGGAAATCACCCAGATAGGCGTAGGCGGGCGGGGGGGCGGAGGGGGCGGAGGAAGGGGCGAGAGAGGAGGGGGAGGAGGGGGTGGGAGAGGAGGAGGAGAAGGGCAGGAGGGCTGAGGCCGAGGAGGTAGGGGAGGGATCGGAGGGAGTGGAGAGGGCGGAGGGGACGCAGGGAGGAGAGGGGCTTGAGCGAGAAAGGGGGGAAAAGGGGGTGGTGGTGCTAGTATTGTGAAATTGTGCTGATGGTGGTAATGCTTCTGATGGTGCTGCTGGTGCTGCTGGTGCAGATGATGCTGATGGCGTTGATGGCTCTGATGGTGCTGCTGATACTGCTACCGGAGTTGATGGTCCTGCTGGTGCTGACAGTGCTGCTGGTGGCGATGCTGCAGGGGCAGTGCCGGGTGCAGCGGGAGGCAGTGCAGTGAGCCAGTAGAGGCTGCGCGACACTGAGCGGGCATTGGTTGCACGACTGCCCGCGGAAATAGATGGCATTGGTGGGAGGTGCGGCGAGGAGCCGGTGTGGTATGGGGAGGATGGGAGATTTTGGGAGGAGGATGTGGTAGGGTCAGGGAAGTGGAGCAGGCGGAGGAGGAGGAAGACGGTGGGGGGTGGGCTGGGAGGGGAGACGGGGAGGCGTGGGAGGTACACCTGGGGGGATGGAGTAGAGGGGGGGAACGATGGGGAGGAAAGGCATGCGAGTAGGGCATGGGAAAGGGTGGGAAGGTTCAGAAATATGTCGGATGAAAGGTAAAAACATAGAATATGAAAGATAACATTCCAGAGCGGACGGAGAAAGGCTTGCGGCTGGGATGGTTGTTGGCAGGGATGGGAGCGAGTGGGACTGATCCATGCCTGCATGACCGCATGTGTGCATGCTGGCAAGTGCAATAGGTTCTGTGCTAACACATCCATATGTGCCTGCAGCTGTGCTCCCTTGCATCCAACTCTCATTCCCCCACCTGCTGCCCTCACCCGAACCTGTCCTGCCCACACCTGAGCCCATGCTGTCCTCACCTGAAGCTGAGTCTCTGTGCATGAAAACGGCGGGCAGGCGAGTGAGTGGGGAGCAGGTGGGGGTGTGAAAGAGGCGGGGAGGGAGGAGGAGGCGTGCCACAGGCAGTGGCCGCTGGGAAGGTGGATGGAAGCTTCCACAGAGAGGGAGGAGAGAGCATGGGGTGTGGTGTTGACCACCTGATGGGCGGGAGAGGGGAGTGGGGGAACGGAGAGAGGAGGGGGAGACGGTTGGGATGGTCCAGGTGTGCGTGAATGGGCTCCTTCAAGGCATGTGCCAGGTGCAGGTTGAATGTATCTCCCAGGAAGGTCCAGGTGCAGGTTGAATGTATCTCCCAGGAAGGTCCAGGTGCTGTCCAGGTGCACTGAACGGGTTCCTTCAAGGCACATGGCATGCCCAAGACGGCTGACATTGGGCGGAACAGGAAGCAGCTGAACAGGAACAGGACATTGCCACAGTCACACAATCACCATACACCCCATGCACCCCCCACACCTGCATGTGCCCCGAGTGCAGGTGCTGCGGCACGTGAATAAAGTTCAGCGCACAGCACAGCGCACGCCGTACAGCCCGCAAACAGGTGGCAACTGACTGCTTACCGCAGTCAAACGACCACCACACATCTGCACGACCACCACACATCTGCACGAGCACCACACATCTGCACGACCACCACACATCTGCACGACCACCACACATCTGCACTTGCCCCGAGTGCAGGTCCAACTGCACGTGAAGGGGCTGCACGGAACAGCACACTGCAAACACAGCTCCCATATGAGAATGCCCATAACAGGTGGCACTGATTGAAGCTGCTTGCCACAACCGCAGATGCACACACTCACCACACGGCACACAATCGCCACACACACGTACCTGCACTTTGCCCGAGTGTAAGTCCAGCTGCACGTGAATGGGCTCCAGGGCACAGCGCACGCCCAACAGCCCGCCAGTGGCGGCCAGCAGGTGGTCGTACAGCTGCCCGCGCAGCCCCCCCCAGGGGTTCTGCCCCTTCCACAGCAACACCCCTGTGTACCGCTCCCACATGCGCGCGCTCCATGCCTCAAACAGTGACCGGTACTGCAGGTAGTTGGCGAGCTGGGCCTGGTGGGGTGGAGGGGAGGGCAGGCGTTTTGGGACGTTTGAGATGTGTATAACCGGTGTATGTACGCACGCCACATGCACACGCCACAAGCCTTAAAGAGCGACCGGTACTGCAAGTAGTTGGCGATCTGGGCCTGGTGGGGTGGACATTCGTGGAGAGAGGGGTTTTGAGATGTGTCACGCATTGGCAGCACAGCAGCACCCTTGCGTGCCTCCACCCATAAAGCGTGCGCTCCATGCTTCGAAGAGGGAACGGTACTGCAAGAAGCTGGCGGGCTGGGCTGTTAAAAGAGTAAGCACAGTGAGGAGCCCCTAACTCCACTCCCACGTCACCCCCCTAGCACCACTCTTTCGGCTCCCACACACCCACCCCCTTGAGCGGCAGCTGCAGCAGCGGGAGACGGAGGAGGAGGAGGAGCAGGGGACGGCGCACACAACAGGCACCCCCACAACCGTCACCCCCACACTCCCCACCCCCAAACCCTAAAACGGGTGGCACGGGGTAGGAGCGCGGGGGACGACGAGGGGGACGGCGCGCGGCCCCCAGGGCGCCACCACGGGGCAGCGAGGGGCCGCGCGCGGCTCCTCAGGGCGCCGCGACGTGAAGGGCGGGGGCCGCGCGTGCTCCCCAGGGCGCCGCGACGAGCAGGGCAGGGGCCGCGCGCGGGTCCCCAAGGTAGAAAACCGCCGCGCGCCTCGGGGCGCACGGCGGGCAGAAAACCGCCGCGCGCCCCGAGCGCACGGCAGACAGAAAACCCGAAAAAAAAATCGGCAGGAAGAAGGAGTTGCACGCCACGGGGCGTGCAACAGACAGAGTAGCAGCGGAAGCAGTTAGGTGGGCCCACAGGCCAGGCGCGTAAATGCTCTGATACCATGTTAAAAGAGTAAGCACAGTGAGGAGCCATAGCTAGGGTTTAGCTAGCTAGGCAAGAGAGAAATGAACAAAGGGGGAGCTTCACTAGCAGCAGTTGGGATACATATAGCAAACCCTAGCTCGGTTGTACCCGCTATAGAGCACCCCACTACAGGCTAGATAATAACATTCTGACACACCCCCATAGCCAAAGTGGGGTGTAATCAGCAGAGCACGCAGTCATAGAGCAGGTTCACAAATGCAAGCAAAGCTAGAGGTAATCACGGCGGGCAAGTGAGGAGGAGGAGGAACTGTGGAAGGAGAGAAGATGGGAGGCAACGACTGATGCTGCAGAGGCACGGGCACAGGAACGACTGACTCAGTGGCTACCGAAGCAAAGGCGACGGACTATTGGAGTGACTGGCTCCGCGGCTAAGACGAGCGGCAGGAGCAACGGACCCACTAGCGACTGGTGGAACAGGCTCACTGGCTACCGAAGCAAGGGCGACGGACTACAGGCGCTGCAGGCGACACGACAGCTACCTCCACACAACCTCCTCCAACTGACCCACACCCTTGACACACACCCCCTGCTGAACCCCTAACTCCACTCCCACGTCACCCCCCTAGCACCACTCTTTCGGCTCCCACACACCCACCCCCCTGAGCGGCAGCTGCAGCAGCGGGAGACGGAGGAGGAGGAGGAGCAGGGGACGGCGCACACAACCAGCACCCCCACAACCGTCACCCCCACACTCCCCACCCCCAAACCCTAAAACGGGTGGCACGGGGTAGGAGCGCGGGGGACGACGAGGGGGACGGCGCGCGGCTCCTCAGGGCGCCGCGACGTGAAGGGCGAAGGCCGCGCGTGCTCCCCAGGGCGCCACCACGGGGCAGCGAGGGGCCGCGCGTGCTCCCCAGGGCGCCGCGACGAGCAGGGCAGGGGCCGCGCGCGGGTCCCCAAGGTAGGAAACCGCCGCGCGCCTCGGGGCGCACGGCGGGCAGAAAATCGCCGCGCGCCCCGAGCGCACGGCGGACAGAAAACCCGAAAAAAAAATTCGGCAGGAAGAAGGAGTTGCACGCCACGGGGCGTGCAACAGACAGAGTAGCAGCGGAAGCAGTTAGGTGGGCCCATAGGCCAGGAGCGTAAATGCTCTGATACCATGTTAAAAGAGTAAACATAGTGAGGAGCCATAGCTAGGGTTTAGCTAGCTAGGCAAGAGAGAAATGAACAAAGGAGGAGCTTCACTAGCAGCAGTTGGGATAATAACATGCTAGATAATAACATTCTGACATGGGCCTGGCGGGGTGGATGGGGAGGCGAGAAGTTTAGAAACGTGCCAGACATCCACAGCGTCTTGAGACCATATGGCTGAATGGCTTATGGATGGCACATGGCACATGGCATGGCATATGGCACAAATTGGGGCGTGACTAGCTAGAATGAAGATGAGATGAGTCCTTGTGGAAGAATAATGCAAAGCACAACGGCTTGCCAGGCTGCAGACAAGATACTGGGAGGGATGGAGATAATGTTGCATCCTTGACCACCCCGCAGCATGGCTCCTCGCTCAGCTTGTGACTTTTGAGAATTCTCAAAAGTCACACGGACAAGATACTGGGAGGGATGGAGACAATGTTGCATCCTTGACCACCCCGCAGCATGACTCCTCACTCACCTTGGCACAGAAGTCATCGAGCCCATCCACAGGGCCATATGTAAGGACCTGTTCTTTTATGAGTCGACTAAAAGATTGGGCCATACGTGAAGTGAGGATCTGGTTCTTCACTCGTACCGACCCCCTCTTCCACTTCCCTTGCACCCACTCCCACTCGCACGCGCCCCTGCCCACTCCCACGCGCCCCTGCCCACTCACACGCGCCCCTGCCCACTCCCACGCGCCCCTGCCCACTCCCACGCGTCCCTGCCTACTCCCACGCGCCTCTGCCCACTCGCACTGACCCCCTCTTCCACTTCCCTTGCACCCACCCCCGCTTACATGCGGCCCTGCACCAGTGCACTCACTTTGGCACAGAAGTCATCAAGTCCCTCCACAGGCCCATACGTAAGGATCTGGTTCTTCACTCGCACCGACCCCCTCTTCCATTTCACCCTCCCTTCTGCTGCCTCCTGCATCCTCGCTTCCTCTCCTTCTCCCCCCTGCTCCAATCCAATAACAACTCCTTGCTGCAGCACACCTGCTTGCTGTTGCCTGCCTGCTTGCCGTCTCGCCCCTCCTCCACCCACCTCGCCCCCACCATCTGACTCCACTCCCACCATGCCATACGGTATGTACGTATGCACCTTCCACCCCTCACTCTCCTCCTCCACACACTCCCCTCCACACTCCTCCCACGCCCTCCCAAACACCGGCGGGCTCCAATCACTCTCGGGAAAAAACTCGCGCAAGCTTTCTGCCTCGGGCACCCCAACGGACCCGATCTCGGGGTTAAACGCGTACGGGTAGTAATCCGGGCAGAAGAAATCTTCAGGGTTCTGGATGCCGTAAGGCCCGTCCGTCCAGCCTCCCTTGCTGTCGGCAAAGCCGCCCCATAGGGAGCCCTCTATGTACGCCCTTGTGCCGTCCAGCAGTAGTGAGGGGTCCTGATCTGATTCAGCTGGGGAAGGAGGGATGGGGGGTTGGGTAGAAGGGGAGGCAGGGGAGGGTGATCCTGCCACCCTGGCTGTCGGCAAAGCTGCCGCTCCATAGGGAGCCCTCTATGTATGCCCTTGTGCCGTCCAGCAGTAGTGACGGGTCTGGGTCTGACTTAGCTGTGAGAGGAGGGATGGAGGCGGGGAGAAAGGGGGGAGAAGGGGGGTGATGAACAAATAGAGGAGTTGGATAACACAACAGAGAAACGGGTCCACGAAGACTCGGAGGCAAAGTGCAGGCGAAATGTTGGGGTTTCCGGATGCTGAATGGAGGCCAATCACCCAATGCACCAAACACACCATCCCACACCACTCCACACACCAGCCCACACAGCCCCACACAGCCCGACACCATCCCACACCATCCCAAACAACCCCACACACCATCCCATGCACCTTTATAAAAGCGCAGCATGCTCTTGAGCGAGTCATTGAGGTCAGCAGCGGGCACGGTCTCGTTGCCGCCCACCCAGAGCGCCAGGCTGGCATGGTTGCGCAGCATGCGGACGCTGTCTTGTGCACAGGAGAGGAAGAGGCGGTGGTCCAGCGGCCAGGAGGGGTCTGACGGGGGCAGGCCGCGGCCGTTGCAGTCGCCCGTGATCCAAAACTCCTGCCACACCTGTGTGCAAGGGAATAGTAGAATAGGTGTTCATGTTTGGTCATGCTTGTTTCGATTCACAAGACACCAAGTGGGGCAGACCCTGGCCCGGCCGCTGCAGATGCCTGCCGTCATCCAACAAACCCGCCACACCCATGAAGGATGTTGCGACATAGAGCAATGTGAGCAAGAACATCATGAGCACTCTTGAACAGCATAAATAGAACCTTCGCGGCGACATAGAACCGAGCGAGAACAGGTTACACCGTTTCAATTCAAGTCTTGAAGATCCCGCGGCTCGTGATGCCAAGGGAATGCATGGCAGTAGAGTAGATGCATGTACCAATCCGAAAGCCATAGAACAGAAACAACTGTGGAGAGAACTCGAGCCCTCTCTGGCGGTCAGAGAGGGCTCGAGACCTTCAGACATGCCTCAAGGTCTTCTTGACAGATAACTGTTATACTGGATTATTCAAGTCACTATTGAAGAATTTCAAAAGCAACCTGTATGCCATTCCCAAGACGCCAGGCCAGCAATCCCAAATTCCCAGTGAATGAATGTTATAGAGCTTTCAAAGCCCAAGAAAGCCCTCATTTCAATCAACCCCCATGCTGACCAGCCCCCACCCCTCGCTAAACCCCACCCCACCCCAACCCCAACCACTCACCATAATCCCCACCCATTCACAGGCGTCATAAAACTTAGGCCGTTCCATGAGTGCCCCCCGCCCACCCACTCATCCCGCCCACTCCCACTCCCACCCCACCCCAAGCCCCACCCCTCACCAGAATCCCGAGGCGGTCGCAGGCATCGTAAAACTCAGGCCGTTCCATGAGAGCCCCCGCCCCACTCCAACTCCAACTACCGCCCCACCCCAAGCTCACCCCACTCCAAGCTCATCCTACTCCAAGCTCACCCTCCTCCAAGCCTATGATGGATTTGACCCCAAAAACTGAAAACGTCAAGGGTCAAAACGCCACGTTTTGACTCTTGACGCGTCAATCCGTTTTGACGCTTGACGCTACTGGTAAAAATTTTCGGGCAGCTTGATTTTGAAAAAAAAAAACAAGAAAAAAAATATACAAAATCGAAATTCCGCGCTCAAAACGCGCCCTGCCAAATAGAACTCGACATCTTGAAACCCCAAAACAGGCCCCAACCAAACCAACACCTGAACCACCCTTCACCCCTTTGAAACTACTCAACCCGACCCATCCCCTAGTACTTCACCACAATTCTCCTTTGGAAATCCCTTCCATGACTGCCCCACATGTCCTACAACTCCTGCCCCCCCCCCCCAACCTCTCTTACTAGCCCCACTGTTCCCAGTTTTTTTTCCCCTTCCCGGGATGTTTTCTTGTCTGCCCGCCCGAGCGTCAAACTGGGGGTACCCCTCAGACAGGGGGCGTCAATAGCGTCAAAACGCTAGCGTTTTGACTCAGAGTCAAAACGCTGAGCGTGTCAAATCCATCATAGCTCCAAGCTCACCCTCCTCCAAGCTCACCCCCCTCCAAGCTCACCCCCCTCCAAGCTCACCCCCAAACCCTCACCAGGATCCCCAGCTGGTCACAGGCGTTGTAGAACTCAGGCCGTTCCATGAGAGCCCCCGCCCACACGCGAATCATGTTCACCCGAGCACACGCGAAAAGTTTCATCTCTGCCCAGTAGCGCTCCGCTGAGAGGCGCAGCATCGCGTCCGAGACGATCCAATTGGTCCCGCGTATGAAGAGCGGGCAGCCGTTGATGAAAAATACCCTGGTACACGACAAGAGCACATACAGAGCATGTGGACGGACATAGATGGGAGGGAAGCACAAAAGCATGGGCAACCGTTGATGAAAGAAAACCTGGTACACGACAAGAGCAGATACAGTGCATGTGGACATAGATGGGGAAGCACAAAAGAGCGGGCAGTCGTTGATGTGAAAAACCCTGGTACACGAGCAGATACAGAATATGTGGCCACGGATGGGGGAGGGGGAGCAGGCAGGCAGTGATGGGGGAGGGGGAGCAGGCAGGCAGTGATGGGGGAGGGGGAGCAGGCAGGCAGTGATGGGGGAGCAGTCTGTGAAGGGAGCCGAGGCATACGGATCATGGGCATGGGATGGGATGGATGGAGGGGTATGAACGAGACATGCGCTACGCGAACAAGAGAAGAGGGAAGGATGCAATAGATAGAAAGGAAGAGGGAAGGCGGGAAGAGGAAAGGGGGGAGGAGGGGGGAGAGGGGAGGAAAGGAGAGCAAGCAGAGTACGACGCGAGGAGAAAGGATGAGCAAGAAGAGGGAAGGAAAGGATGAGCAAGAAGAGGGAAGGAAAGGATGAGCAAGAAGAGGGAAGGAAAGGATGAGCAAGAAGAGGGAAGGAAAGGATGAGCAAGAAGAGGGAAGGAAAGGATGAGCAAGAAGAGGGAAGGAAAGGATGAGCAAGAAGAGGGAAGGAAAGGATGAGCAAGAAGAGGGAAGGAAAGGATGAGCAAGAAGAGGGAAGGAAAGGATGAGCAAGAAGAGGGAAGGAAAGGATGAGCAAGAAGAGGGAAGGAAAGGATGAGCAAGAAGAGGGAAGGAAAGGATGAGCAAGAAGAGGGAAGGAAAGGATGAGCAAGAAGAGGGAAGGAAAGGATGAGCAAGAAGAGGGAAGGAAAGGATGAGCAAGAAGAGGGAAGGAAAGGATGAGCAAGAAGAGGGAAGGAAAGGATGAGCAAGAAGAGGGAAGGAAAGGATGAGCAAGAAGAGGGAAGGAAAGGATGAGCAAGAAGAGGGAAGGAAAGGATGAGCAAGAAGAGGGAAGGAAAGGATGAGCAAGAAGAGGGAAGGAAAGGATGAGCAAGAAGAGGGAAGGAAAGGATGAGCAAGAAGAGGGAAGGAAAGGATGAGCAAGAAGAGGGAAGGAAAGGATGAGCAAGAAGAGGGAAGGAAAGGATGAGCAAGAAGAGGGAAGGAAAGGATGAGCAAGAAGAGGGAAGGAAAGGATGAGCAAGAAGAGGGAAGGAAAGGATGAGCAAGAAGAGGGAAGGAAAGGATGAGCAAGAAGAGGGAAGGAAAGGATGAGCAAGAAGAGGGAAGGAAAGGATGAGCAAGAAGAGGGAAGGAAAGGATGAGCAAGAAGAGGGAAGGAAAGGATGAGCAAGAAGAGGGAAGGAAAGGATGAGCAAGAAGAGGGAAGGAAAGGATGAGCAAGAAGAGGGAAGGAAAGGATGAGCAAGAAGAGGGAAGGAAAGGATGAGCAAGAAGAGGGAAGGAAAGGATGAGCAAGAAGAGGGAAGGAAAGGATGAGCAAGAAGAGGGAAGGAAAGGATGAGCAAGAAGAGGGAAGGAAAGGATGAGCAAGAAGAGGGAAGGAAAGGATGAGCAAGAAGAGGGAAGGAAAGGATGAGCAAGAAGAGGGAAGGAAAGGATGAGCAAGAAGAGGGAAGGAAAGGATGAGCAAGAAGAGGGAAGGAAAGGATGAGCAAGAAGAGGGAAGGAAAGGATGAGCAAGAAGAGGGAAGGAAAGGATGAGCAAGAAGAGGGAAGGAAAGGATGAGCAAGAAGAGGGAAGGAAAGGATGAGCAAGAAGAGGGAAGGAAAGGATGAGCAAGAAGAGGGAAGGAAAGGAAAAGAAGAGGGAAGGAAAGGATGAGCAAGAAGAGGAAGGAAAGGATGAGCAAGAAGAGGGAAGGAAAGGACAAGCGTGTGGAAGAGAAAGGCAACAGCGCACGTACCTGGAACCAGAGCCCTCAACTCACCTCAAAAGCGGAACCAGAGCCCTCAACTCACCTCAGCACCCATCAATCCACGTACCTGCCGCCACTGCCCTCTTCCACATAGCTGTCAATCTGTCGGAACCCAAACTTGCTGCCCCACACGTCACTCTGTATCCACCCCCCCTCCCCTTGCTCTCTACCCTCCCCCTTCTCCACATCCCCATCCCTGCCATACAAGGCCGAGCTGACAAAACTTTTCGCCTGCCCGAGACTGTGAGTCAGCGTGTGAGAGAGAATCCGGCTCCAGGATGCAGAGGCAGGCGCGGGGGGTTGTGGCGAGGAAGAGTCAGGTGAGGAGTGGGAAGGTGAGGAGAGATGTGGATAGGAGGTTGGTAGGGAAGTGGGTGAGGCTGACGACAACAGGTCATCCACTGCCACTGTGGCTTTCCCAGTGGGGTGGCAGGATGCGAGGCAGGAGGGGTGCAGCACAGAGGCGGTGATTGCCACATCGTACAGCGACGGTGCACCCATGCCATTGGGCCACCACAGGTGGGGGCGGGACACGAGTAGCTGCAAGGGAGGGGGGAGGGAACGGAGGGATAGAGCAGGACTTGCGATTGCAAGGGTGGGGGGAACAGCACACAGACCGTGATGGCAACGCCCCCACGTGTGATGAGGACGAGCAATGTGTAGCTGCAAGGGGAGGGGAGGGAAAGGGGGGGGGAGAGCATGGTGGCAGCAGAGACTGCCGGCCGGCGATGGGACGCAGAGGGGAAGAGAAGGAGGCGGTAGAGACGGGGGGGGGGGGGGGGGAATGAGCAGGAGGGGCAGGAACGAGCTACGAAGGGACACAGCGGATCCATGCCATGCCACAGGGCCTTTGGGATGCAGTGGGGCGGACAGACGTGAGATTCTTGATCTCACTTCAAGTTGCAGTGGGAATCGGTCGTGGGAGTGTTGAGTGCGAGTGAGTGAGAGACACAGTGGGATACAGAGTTGAGGTCATGGCCATACGCGCTCACGTTACAACAACACCATGTGTGAGTTGTGTGTGTTATCTGATTCGCACCGGCTGGAATGTGTGAGTGATGCTGCTGTTGCCCGGTACCTCCACCTCCTCCTCCCTCACTCCCTCCACCATCACAAACCCCTCCCCTTCCCCCTCCTCCTCCTCCCACACCCCCTCCCCGCTCACCCTCCCCCCTTCCCCACCCCCCCATCCCCTCGCCCCTCCCCGTCCAAGCGCCCCTCCACCGCCCCTCTGGTGTGGGCCGGGAGTGAAGGCAAGCTCGAGAGACACGCGCGTGCGGAGGGGGATGGGAAGGGAGTTGGTGAGGGTGAGGGAGCAGTGGAGAGACGCGGCAGAGGGGCAGAAGGGAGGGGCGGGAGGGGCGGGAGTGGAGGAGGAGGAAGGAGGAGGCGCGTGTGTGTGGGTGTTGCAGGGAAGAACTGATGGATGGGTGACATCATCCTTTGCACTGGCTCCATCTGCATGCTCCCTCTTCGCTCCATCTGCTTGCGTGTCATTGCAGCGTTGGGACGCGAAGACAGCCACGAGATGAGGGTCCCCGATGGTCACGGGCTGCCATGCATACACCATGCACAGGGGGGGAGGAGAGGCGAAAGGCAGGCTTACGAGTCGAGTCAAAAGACGACCGCCACCACATGAGAGTGACCATTGGCCGAGTCTTGTTTTTTGAGAATTCTCAAGAAACAGATTCGGGATGCTACCCACGCATGCATGGAAGCGAGGGGGGAAGGTGGCGATTGATTCAACTAAGAAAACGGCCACCGGGTGAGGGACACTAATGGCCACGGGCTGCCATGCATTCACGCATGGTCAGGATGGGAAAGAGAGGAAACAGCATGCCCGGGAAATGTGCAAGTATCATGTTAAGGAAGGTAGTAGATGCCTTCCTTTTCTCCCACAAGCACAAACAATCCCATGTCCACCCCTCCTCACTCACCCCTGTGACAGCCACGTGCACTTGATCCCACATGCCCGTGTTGCGATCCCTGCCACCCCACACAGAGAAACAAGGCAGCAAGCAGGCTTGTAGAAAGCAGAGCAAGCGGCGATGGCCGGAAGGAAGCGCTGAGGGGGACAGTGAAGAGCGTCAGGCTGGAATGTGGGAGACGCGGGAAGGACTGGTAGCCATGATTGAAGAAATTCACAGGTGCATAACCCATCAAGTGTGTATACACGAACACCAACGAGGAAGTGCAATGCGGATTCAGAAAGAGAGATGGGTACCGGATGGGAATGATCCAATCCCAGCCCTCCACGTATTGAGCTGTGACATCCTTGGCCACCTGCATGCGTGGGGCATAGCAAGGCACATAAAGCATGCCAAATGGCGTTAATAGAAAGGCAATTGGCATGCATCCAATTGGCATGCGTCACACACATACGGTCATGCATGCACGAGGCTGTACCTGGTGGTCGCCGCCCTGCCCTCCCCCATCCACGTTCCCCGGGTGGTCCACTGGATTAACCACCACTGCCAACTGGTTCCTGCTCTCGCTGCTGCCACACCTGTTACACCCACATTCACTGCTACATCCCTTGCTCCTATTGCTACAGATTTTACTGCAATGGCTCTCGCCAATGTCTCCCCTTCTGGCCAGGTCAGTGATGTCCAGCTGGCGCCGCAGGAACATGCCAGCTGGCTGGTCGATGCTGAGTTGGCGGCCGTTAAGGAAGACGGAGAGTGAGTAGTTGACGCCACGGAAGCACAGCCACACTCGCTCCCACTCATGACTCTCACACCCACACCCAGCACACCCACTACAGCCATCCCGGCCACAGCACCCCTTATCACCAGCAACAGCAGCACCACCAGCAGTAGCAGCAGCTACAGACGAGCAGGACGGCTGGCAGTGCAGCAGAGCCTGAGAGGATGAATTAGCGGCAGGCAGGTGGAAGCAGCGGCGGAAGAGGAAGGTGTAGAAGGGGCGGCCGGCGTGGGCGATGTCAGGAATGCAGTCGCGCGTGTTGGTGCCGAAGAGAGGGTCCGGAAAGACCCCGTTTGCCACCAGGCTTGTGAGCACTCTGTGGGGAAGAGAGTGAGAGGAAGGAGAAGGGGTTGGGCACCGGTGTGGGCGATGTCAGGGATGCAGTCGCGTGTGTCGGTGCCGTACAGGGTGTCAGGGAAGACCCCTTTCGCCACCAGGCTCGTTAGCACTCTGAGGGGAAGAGAGTGAGAAGAAGGTGGGGGAGGGGAAGGCACAGGTTGGTGATTTTGAGAGTGCGAGGGAAGGGAGGCACGAGGGAAGGTCAGAGTAGAGGGGAAGCACGGTTCGATAGTTCTCAGAATACTTTGACACCACGACGGGGAGGCAGGAGGAGGGATGAGAGTGAGAAGCACAAGAGACTCAAGAGCAAGCGAATTCAATAACAGAGGGACTCAAGATCAGCAGATATTTGGAAGAGGAAGGGCGTTGTGGACGGTGAATGGTGTGATGCAACGACAGGAGGCTCGAAAGGACAACATATGACACCACATGAGATTTTATTAGAATACGGTGCTACAAACGGTGTAAACGGTGCTACAGACGGTCTACAAGGACACGACATGGCCGTTTCCGGTGACACTCTTCCCGTACGGTCCCTGCAAGCACGAAGCCTTCACCACCGCCCATCCTGGAAACGTACGTTCCTGGAACAACGGCCGGCATCCAGCCATCCTCGTTACAGTTCCACTCGCTGTCCACGCCGTCACTCTGCCCATATGTTGATGAATTTCCTTCAGTATATAACGAATTTCGGGCTCCTCTAGAATCGCTTGTTTGTGGTAACTGGGTAAGCTGTTCGCCACTGACACCAACCTCCGACGCTCTTTTCATCCGCCACTCAGAGTGCAACAGCTGGCACCAGGGCAGCGAACCCGAATCGTCTCCCGTGGGTGCCATGGTCGATAGCTTGGCCCAACGGAAACCGGGGATGAGGTACGATTTGCAGTTCTAGTCACAAATCCGCCATTCCATGTTTGCCAGGTTAGTTGCCAGTGGGGAGTTATGCAGCATGGCAACCCAACAGATGCACTTGCACATATGCCTTGCAGCGCAATTCACCGCATGCTTGTTTTTGAATGACTCGATACCGTAAAAACAAATGTGATAACAGTCGAATTTGCATGTGAGAAGTAAGGTGTACATGTTGCGACCTTGAAATCATCTCATCAGCCCCACATTCAACTTTGTCAAGCAACATCTCGCACATTCGCATGACGATTCGCCAACGTCGCAAACGCCTCGCTCGTGCCAGGCATGCAACCTTTTCCTCCATCCCGCCCTAATTTCTCGGAGTTCCCGCCAAAACGACCCTCGGCCAGCCATTTTCAGGCATTGCTGCTCTGAACTGAAATGCCCCCAAGCCTCAAACACACCACGCCACTGTTCTAGACCAGAGACATTCTCGATATTGCACTTCGCAGAAGCCAGCTTACGCATCCGCAGTGGCTGTACTGTAGTAGGTCACAGCGTAGGTGCGTGCGGAGCCGCTCGTGAGCGTCACACTGGTCCCCGTGCCTCTCTCAGCGGTTTGGTCCGAGCCGGCCCATGGAGGAGGTCCAGGTTCGCGAGTTCGTGGAGGTGGCCGCTCCTACCGCCGACGAAGCCGCGGATCCCGTGATTACCGGCGCGAGCTTCGGCGCTATCGGCGCCGCAATAACCGGCGCGGCGAAGAAGGACGAGCCTAAGAAAGGCCTGCTTCCGCTGCTGATTCCAGTCGCCGTCGTAGCCGCCGGGGTGTTCGCCATTGTCAGTGTTATCAAGGGTAGCAAGAAAAAGAGCAAAGGTGACGCCACTGATGGCACCACGTATAAGGCATCGCCGCTTGTCGCGGCGACCGAGGAAACTGTCACTGTTAGTGGTGCTGACGCGGTTAAATCCGTTGTTGCTGCCGCTGACCGTTACGTTCCTGCGTCGCCCGGATCCGATGCGTTTCACGACGCCACGTGGGAGCTGACGGCGGACGACGACGACGACGCGCCGAGCGGGATTTCCGGCGCGAAACCCGGCGAGGGCGCCATGGTGGCGCGAATCCTGGGAAACTCCGCGGCGAGCGCGGAGGTGGCGGAAGACGCGGAGGAGGGGAAAGCGGAGGAGGCGGAGGAGGGGGAGAAGGCGGAGGAGGCGGAGAAGGGGGAAGGAGAGGGGGAGGAAGGCGAGAAGGAAGATGAAGAGGATGACGAAGAGGAGGACGAAGAGGATGGAGAAGCAATGGTTTCGTCGCTGCTGCAAAAGGCACGTGACGCGAGCTCCAATGTCAACGACATGGCCGCCAGAAGCCTCACCTGATCTGGCCTGAGCGGAAGGGAGAGGCTTCTGACTCTTGAGGCTCGTGCCTGGGAGGCACCTAGCTCAGGGTGCTCTAAGAAGCAATATCGGGGCCAGGAGCTTGGGCTAGACGGTGATTTCTTTTCTTTGTTGCCCCCTCCTCTCTCACATTGCCAGAAGCTACGGTATTGCACATTGTCCGTCCAGCACCCATCCATCCATCACTGCACTCTCCCTTGTCCTCAGCCCCCCATATGTCATCAGTCTCCCCTATCCTTTCTCCAGCTGCTTTACCTATGGCCTTTAGATAACAGGTTTCAGCAGCAACATGCATTATATTATACAGTTTAGGTTAGGTCAGGTGTGTATGTATACGCGTTCATGGTTTGGGCTTCCTAGTAGTGTAATTATCTGTATTGTCAGAGCTGCAAGCTTTGTAAACCCTGGCAGATGACTGCCGCCGGATAGTACCTGATCGCATGCTGAGGAGAGGCCTCGATTAGCAATAAGGTTTTGCTCATTTCACTTCACTGCTTGCATAAGTGCCAAGCCAAGTGCACTGGATCTGGTCACGAATCATGTGTGCATCACAATGCAAGCCACAACAAGTCATGCATATCACGACGAGTCACGGGTGAGCAGCAGGCGGCCAGAGAAGAGTCTGCGACTCAAGCGCAAGCCAGTGCAGGAGGCACCCGTGTGGACGCCTCCCACATTCCCTCCACCACCAGGGGATTGACAGCTGTCAGCATCACTCTCCACGTCACTGCAAACACCCATGACGTCCCTAGCAGCAGCAGCAGCAGGACAGGAGGCAGCAGCAGCAGCAGCAGCAGCAGCAGCAGGACAGGAGGCAGCAGCAGCAGCAGCAGAGGAGGCAGCAGAGGCTGTTGTTGTTTGCTCCGCAGCCTGTCCTTCCATTCCTGCCCCCACCCCAACCCTTACCCTCACCCGAACCCCCACCTCTCCTGCCCCTGCACCTACCCCGGGTCCTGCCTCTGTGTTATCAGAGAAGGAGCGCTCAAACCCAGCAGCACTGTGGAAAGCGAGTGCTCGCACTGACCCTTCCTCCTCCCCTGCTCTGCAGGGTAGCTCCTGACATGCGCCCAAGCTGCCACTCCTCCTGTGCCGCACCTGCCTCCTCCGCTGCCTCCACCCCTCCTCCTGCTGCTCCTCCTCCTGCTCTACTGCCTGCTGCTTCTGTTGTTGCTGCTGCTCTCCTTCCACCTGCGCTTGCTGCTGCTGTTGCTCACCTACCTGCTGCTGCTGCGGCTGTTCTTGCTGTGGCTGCAGCTGATTCAGCGGAATTCTTGCACTTCTTGTTCCTTCTGCGTGCACGGAAGTACAGCCAGCGCTGTCACCCCTGCTGGCATTCAAACGGCAATTCTCTCGGTTTGGTTGCTCCAATGGAGGCTGCTGAGACTGTTGCAGATCAGTCCGAGATTGCAGCGGGCCAGACCGAGGCTGTAGCACATCCGACCGGGGCTGTAACAGACCAGCCCAGGGCTGTAGCGGACCGAATTGAGGCTCTAACAGCCCATGTCGAGGCTGTAGCGGGCCAGAGCGAGGCTGCAGCGGACCAGATGCGACCCTACGCGCCTGTAGAGGCCCCTTGAGGCGAGCATGAGACCCTTGAGGCATCTGTACCTCTCCCTCCCCCGTCCATCCCAATGGAGAATTGCCATTGCTGTGCGACCCTCCCCCACTCACTGTGCTGCTCTGGTGAATCGACTCTTGAGGCATCCGTACCTCCCGCGTCCATCGCAGGGGGGACCGGTCTTGACAGTGGGAGATCCCGCTCACTGTGCTGCTCTTGCACATTCGAGGAGGAGCTGCTCGCTCTCTCCACTGGGACGTGACGTAATGCGAATCAGAAGAGATTTTCTTCGGTACAAACCGCCCAGGTGATGCACCAGCCGCTGCAACAGCAGCCAGAGCAGCAGCAGGAGGAGCAACAGAGTGGGCAGCAGCATCGCGCAGGCCTGCCAGGTATCCCATGGCAAAGGCCTCTCGCACCCTCTCCTCCATCACTTGCTGCCACCTCTCAGGTGCATTCCCAGGTGGTGCCTTGAACCGGAAACTCACCTGCTCGAATGCACCCTCCCCAAATGGACCCTGCCCAGGCCAGCCCTGGCCAGGTGGGGCCAGGCAGGGCTGGCAAGGCGGTTGCTCCTCATGCGGGGGAGGTTGAAGGCGGTGGGGTGATTCAGAGAGCGAGGCAGAAGCAGCTGGGTCGTCACTGGCACCTTGTTGTGGTGGTGGGCCAGGCTGGCAGGGCTTGAAGTGTGGGTTCAAGCGAGAGCCTAGTGGGTTGAGCACCCGTGCTTCCTGCTGCACGCCCGGACTCGTTCTGCCTCTGCTTGACTGCGTGCCTGCGATTCGCTCTCCTTCCCCGCAATCATAACCAAACCCTGTTGGTGTGCATGAGGGCTGCTGGGCTGTGAGCGCGTTTAACGGCTGCTGGTCCGATAGTGAGTAGGTGGGCTGCAGCACCCCTGAGGAGCACCGGCGGTGGCGAGATGCTGGGCGGGATGAGGGCGACTGGGGGGATGGTGATGGGAAGGAGAAGGCTGGTGGAGGAGAGGAGGGGAGAGAGGAGGGCGGTGGTGGGGAAGCGGACAAGCTCATAACTGCTGATTGAAACTCCTCTGCTCGTGAGCGAGTTCGACTGTGCCACGTGGCAAAGAGGCTCAGCTTGCCCCTCCGCTCCTGCTGACCCCGCACCTGAGAGAGCTCTCCTTCCTGCCATGCAGATCCCTCACTGTAGTTGTTTCTATTCTCCACGTCCACCTGCTGCAACTGCTGCTGCTGCTGCTGCAACTGCTGTTGCTGGTGCTCCTGCATGCACGCGCCCTCCCACTGCGCGCCACTGCTGCCTGCCAGCTGGCCAGCAGGTAAGCTGCCTTGCGTAAACCATTGCTCTTCTGTCCCTTGATCTCTTTCCGTCCTTTCCACCCTTTCCACCCGCTCCCTCTGCGTCCTGTCTGCCCTCTCAGTCTGTTCAACAAGGCAGTAGTCCGTAGGGCATGACTGCTGCCGCCTGTGCGACTTCCTTGCGTGCTTTACTCCCTCCTTTAATCCTCCTCCTCCCTCCTTAGGCTCACTGCGCTGAGGAAGAAGCTCGATCTCCACCTCGTGATCTGGACCGTTGGATCTTTCCACGTCCCTGCTGGGCTGCCAGCCTAGACCGTACATGACAACACCGTCCGCGTCCTTCCCTCGTCGCCTCCTGCTCCCATGGAGGCCATGGTTGTCGGCTTCGGTGTCGCTCTCAGGGATGTGCGTGAGATCGATGGATGTGATCCGACGGTCCTCTTTCTCCATCCGCTCGCACTGCGCCTTCAACTCTGCCGTGAAGCACGCGGGAAAACGAAAGACAGAGAGAAAGAGAGATTAAA